GGGGGGATCGCTCCCACGATGATTTGCCGGCATGGTCTATTTGTGTCGCCGGCGGGCCGGCAGGCCTCCCCCCTCGCCGCATGTCGCCGGGGTGATGGTCCCGCTCCGGGCGAGTGCGTCCCGGCGGCGGGCGCGGTGACCCGGCCCGGGAAACAAACGCCCAGCCGCCGGGGAGGTAGGGCGAGCCCTGGTGCTGGCGTTGCCATGCGCCGCGGCGCCGTGCAATTTACCGTAACCGCCAGGCCGCCGCCGTGGAGCAACGTCCCCGCAGCCCGCTCCCCGGCCGAGAGGGGGGGCGGGGCACGGGGGTGCCAGGTCGGCAGGCAGGCCGGCCGGGGAAACCAGGCGCTCTGGCCTTGCTACACCGCCGCCCCGGCCCCGGCCCCGGCGCCGCATCTCGGCCTGCTTGGCGGCTCGCGTGTACCCAGGGAACCCCGCCCTCAGGGCCCCCCCTGCCTGCGGCCTCGCACTGGGGGCGCCCCGGGCTCCGGCCCCCGCCCGGGCCCCTGCTTCTCTCCGGGCCGCGCAGCACGGCATACAGGCGCCCCCCACAGGGGACGCCCGTTCCCCTTGGTCGCCCCCCCCCCCCCCCCCCCCCCGGAGTCGCGAGTGACTCATCCGCCCGGGGGAGGCCCCGGGCGAGCTATGGCAGAACGCATTTCCAGTTGATCAGGACGCGCCCGGCTCCTGGCGCCGGGGCGCTCGGAGGTTGAACGCGCCAGGGCGCATTCTTTGTTGCACGCGTGAGCTCATGCATGCGCCTGCACGCCTCCCCCCGCCGAACCGCGTTGTGATTATGTTTTCCCCGCCGCCCTCCCCCCCCCCTTACGCCACACGCCCGATGTTGCTCCCGCGCGGGTTCGCGCACCCGCGCAGGGCTCGCCCCCCCCCCTCCTTGGATCGACAACAGGCAGGGCGACCGACCGGTCAAATGTGACAGACGCTCTGGCACGGATGGGCGACGCAGCCCGGCTTGACACGTCGGGGCGGCGGCGGCTCGCGGGGGGGGGGGGGGGGGGGGGTTTTCGGGCCCCCCCCCCCCCCCCCTGCTCCGCCCTTCTTACTGATGCGCACGCCTGCGCCGGGGCCCCTCACAAGAGAGTGAGAGTCCGGTGCAGGGGGCCCCAAGAGAAGCCAGGACGATGTTCGCTCCAGCCCGCATCCATCCCCGCGTGTCCATCACTCGCCACACCCTGGCCCCCCTTTCGACATGCAAGACGCCTTCGGGCCGCGGCCACTCACCGAAGGGGCCGCGGCCGGGGGCCGGGGCCGGGGAGCACAGCCAGGAATCAAGACGCAAAAACACACTCGGACGCACGCACGCACGCATGCGCACAGGTCCGGAGGCTTCAGCGCAGCGCTATCTGCCCCGTCCC